ACGCAGGAGGCGGTGCGCGGTCAGCCCTTCGCCGACGTCCTGTCGCTCAGCGACGGGCCCCCGGGCGCGGGCAGCGGCGTGCCCTACTTCTACCTGAGCCCTTTGCAGCAGTCGGTGGGCAACCTGCAGGTGAGCATGCGGGCACCGCGCCGCGGGCCAGCCTGTCCACTGTCGCCTGCACGCGCCCAGGGGCGACAGCGGGCTCACGCCGGCCCGTGCGCCCCCGCGCCGGCCGGGCGGGCACTGCTGCGCCCTGGTCGTGGGTCTGCTGACCACCACCCAGGAGTTTCACACGCGCCCCGCAACGGGGCGACGCTGGGGAGACTTCTTTGCCATCTTCCCCGAGGCGTCTTGGGCCACTATGTGTCATAAACTGGGCTCTTTTTGTTCAGAGTTTTAGAGGGCGTGGAGATTGTCGGATAGTTGAGCCCTTCGTATAGGTAGGGCTTCTGGGTTTCCCTGTCTTACTCCTTCTGAATTAAGGATTTCCCCCTCGGCACCAAGAAGCTGACATCCGAGGTGGTGGGGGATTAGTGATTGATTATTGCAGTCCTCAGGGCTTCCTGAGGACTGGGTGGGAGGCGGGACTGGTTGGAAACCCGACTCCTCCTGCCCTTGCCCACCTTTGCGGGGCAGGGCCACCGTTTACAACCCTGGTGGACCCTTGCTGTCCCGAGACAGGTGTCACAGACATACTTTGGGTGGCTAGAGCCACATGGAGTCCAGAGATGAAGCTCGATTTGGTGGCGGGTCTTTTTGACAAAGGTCCCAGATTTGAGGTTAACTGGGAAGGTACGAAGTTAAAATTGGGGCGGAAGAAGCCGGTATTTGGTTAGGCGCCTACCGCACGCCGGGTGGCCTGGTGCTTTCCCTTCATCGTGTCTTTTTAATACCCCTTTGAGGTGGCTTTGCTGTCCTCAGGATAAATAAGTTTCCCAAAGCCAGCGGCCAAACTGGAATGTCCCCCCACGTCCATCTGTTCTCAAAACATGGGTCACGCAGACCGGTGCCCCAGGAACTGAATATGTTCCGCCAACCAGTTTTCTTTGGCCCGCACAGAGTTCTGTGTTGTTTTTGAAAATAAATTTGAGTTAGTTGCCGACATTTAAAAATTGACATTTGTAACTTCTCGAAAGACTGGGAGATCAAGCGATATCGAGGGCAGCTGCTTCCTTCGGCCAAGGCGCTGCACCCCTTGTCCTGTTCGCCACGGTCTCACCCCCAGCCCACTCCAGGCCCTGAGGCATTTGCTCGAAGCAGGCTCATTCTATTCCGTCATTAACCTTGGCTGCAAATACTGTCACCTGGGAAGACTTTTTGAAATGTAATGCCAAGATATTTTATCGGAACATTTTATTAACCACCCCCGTCCCCCCCCAAAAAAAACCCTCCTGATGCTTCTAATGGGGGGAGGTGATTGAGAACCACCGCTGTACATGGTATATTTAAACTTGCGATGACATCATCATCCCCATTTGTAGGGATGAAGAAACTATCGCTCAGAGGCGCAGGGACTCACCTGTGGTCAGGTGGGACTCCAGCCCAGGTCTTTTACTAACCTAGGGAGAGACAATGGTAAGGACCCCGCCCAGGGAGTGAAAAGGCGTGGCCGCAGCAGAAATAGCCTGACTCTGAGTCCATCGATTAACCAGTGGGGGTTGGTTTATAATTTTTGCTTTTCCTCCTTCTCTGACCTCTGTCTGCCCCGGTCCACCTGGCCACCAGACTGACATGAGCACCACTCAGCACTGCCCTCTGTGCAGAAACCCTCACGACATCTGCAGGGGACCATCCACCTGGGGTGTTTGTTTAAAATGCAGGTTCCTGGGCTGGGAAGGGAGCTCAGAAATCAGCATTTTAACAAGCTCTCCAGGCAGGTGGTTCTTGGAAAGCACTGGCCGGTGCCGCCAGCCTACGTGTTGTAACCTTGACTCCTGAGCTCGGACTTGAGCCACCCTCACCCCGCTCAATCAATACCCACCCCCGCCCCCGCCAGCAAGCCTATCCTTCGAGCAAGTCGGGTTCCTACTACGATCCTGTCTCACACTTTCCCAGGTCTGCCTTTGGCACTCGGGGCTCCCTCCGTCTGAAATCCGTCCTCCCACTCGATCCTGATTTTGAATATCTCACAAGGGCTCCCTGCGGCGTCAGCATCACTCCAGGCTACGCTTACACTGAACTTGGAACGTCCTCAACTGTGCGGGTCACGCAGTTAGTCACGTGCTGTCACTTCACCTCTTCCGTGTCTCTGTTTTGCACCGTTTAAGTTTTGTTGGCGTCTGACTTTTGAACCAGATTATGACTCACAGAAGGGAGAGACCTTGTCCGAGTCCCCTGCCGTCTCTTCTCCTGGGTCTCCTGGAGTGCGTGCCTGATCATTTATCGACAGCAAATATTTGGCTAAACGATTTCAAGAGGATCTCGTTCTGACTCGCTGTTTTGATGGGTCACTGTGAGATGGCAAAATTCCTCCCAGGAGACACTTGGAGTTTAAGGAACTAAATGGCCCGAATGGCAGCACGTGAATTTCGCTGTGGTCTGTCAACAACGCCTTTGGCACAGCTGACTTCCAAATAAGCAGAATTAGGAGCTTTGCTTGGCTCGCATTTTAAATCTAAGAATTCTTGTTGTTAGAGCAGGAACGAACAACTTCTCGAATTTTGAAATCCCATGACAGTTTCTGCTAGCAAAAGATAACCAAGAAGCATGACTCAGCTACTTTCTCGCTGAAACTGTAATTAGCTATTTGAGCGACTGTGCTGTGTCTATGTGTTAGTTTCAGGTTAGAGTCTAACCCTTTCGAAGGCTGCAGGCCAGCCTTGTATTTGGATGGTGCTGTAATTATAATTTCTTGGTGAATGGGGGACAAGTTAAGAGTTTAAGAAAAGAAGTATTAAAACGATTCTTACTGAGTCAGTTAATTTAAATTATGAACCACCCCTTCCCCTTTTTTTGGTCAAGATTGTTCTCTGCCTTAATAGTGATTTTCCTGAGTGGAAGGGGGGGTTTTACCATTCGCTTCATGGCAGAACAGTCGAGCTCTGGGGTGGCACGTATGCGATTGTGGAATTTATTACTCTGTTTTCTTATATTTGGTATCTTTCTGTGAGTTTTTCTTCTCTCTGGAATATTTATTAAATTGTAGCTTTCAACTCTTCTATCGAACTTTTGCCTTATATTTTTATTTTTCAAGAACTCTTTATTCTCTAAATCTAAACATTTTGAAAATTCCTTTTTTTAAATTAAATTGATCAGGGCGACACTGGTTAATAAAATTATATAGGTTTCAAGCATACAATCCTATAACACATCATCCGTATATTGCATCGTGTTCACCACCCAAAGTCAAATCTTCTGTCACCGTGCATTTGACACCGTTACCCCCTCTCCCTGCCCCCACCCCCTCCCCTCCAGGGAACCCCCACACTGTGGTCTGTGAGACTGGTCTTAGATGAGCTCCATCTTATTAATGACGAAAGAAGAGATAGTTTGAGGGTAATGAAAATGATGGTGATTGACATGCAAAGTTAGAAAATCCGTTCTAATAAGTCATTTCCTGAAAACTAAAAGTTTTAATGGATCGCTTTCATGTAGGTGTTCCATTCGACAATTATAAGGAAAAAATGATTTTTTAAAGCCCCAGTGGAGGGAACGTCTGCTCAACTGTGCTCACTGCCGTGACTGTGCTGTGCACTGCACAGCGGTTCCGAGGCGTGGGTCCTTGTCCTCGTGCTGTCACAGTGGCCTAGAGCAGGGAGCGCCCTAAGCGGGTTACAAGGGGGAGTCCACTGCGAAGCCCTGGACGTGCGCGTGGGAAGCCTGGGGGGAGGGCTGGACGGACGAGGCCGACAGAGCTGCAGGAGGGCGGAGGGCCAGGCGGCGTGAGCGTCAGCCGGTGGCTCGGCTGGCAGCTGGCAGGTTCGCTCTTTGACCTCGTCCGTCATGGCGCCTCAGACCGGCTTCCTTTATGGTCTGGAAGTTCTCCACGGAGGCAGCTCTGTGCTGAGTGTCCCTCGCTGGCGGGAGAAAGGGTGGGGACAGCGAACGCTGGGGTCCAGCGAGCATCTCCCGAAGACGTTGACCCTTCGGGCACATGCGTTCACGTTTGTCACGGGCTCGTCGTGGGATCGATGGCCGATGTGGCACGTCGCAAGCACAGGGAGCATGTTATGAAAGCACCTGTGCCAGTTACTCCGATGACTCGAAATTCCCGCTGAGCAACGAATGCCGTACGCGCGGTGGCTTCCCCGCTGTCACGCCTGTCCTCACCGGCGTTTAAAAGCTTCACGTTCTCTGAGCTTTCCTTATTTTCCTTTGATTCCTTCAGTTTGAGATCCGGATGTATGGGAGATCTTAAAAGCTCTCATTGCAAGGAAAAGAAAAAAGGAGGAAAAAAGAGAAAACATTTTTCGTGCGTAGGCGTGGCAGCGGATGTCAACTTGCTGTGATCACCTCGCAGTGTATACATATATCAAGTCATTACGTCACACACCCAAAGCAAGCGCAATGCCATATATCAATTATGTCTCGATTTTTCCTAAAAATAAAAAAAAATCAGGATCCCTCACTAAATAAACTCTAGGATTTGTAGAATGCTAGAATCACTCATTCTTAACAGAGGAGAAGACAAAATGTCACTGCTATGAGAATTGTTTATTTCACATCTATCTGTCTTTTAGGTGAACGAGACAGAAAGGGACATCGCGAAACGTTCGTTATTCATCCGACACCCTGAGATGGAAACCTGGCCCTCCGGCCATAATTGGTTCTTTGCTAAGTTGAATATAACCAATATCTGGCTCCTGGACTACTTCGGGGGACCGAAGATCGTGACGCCCGAAGAATATTATAATGTCACGTTTCAGTAAGTCCTTATTTGTACATCGTCTACCTTCCTTCGCAGGCCTCACCAGTGGTCCTTCACCCGGAGGACCTTAGCCATTTCCCGTGCCACGGACCCCTTTGGCAAGCTGGTAAAGCCTGCGACCACCCTCGAGTGAGTCTAACTTTACTTTCTGAGTGCCGAGGACCGAAAACAATATTTTAAGACATCGGTACCAGCTCCAACACGATGTGGAAGTGTCTCCAGTCTCCGTATTTCTGCTGGTGACGGTCACAGATACGCTGTCACCATGTGGTTTACTGCCTGCTTCCATCATGGAAGGAAATGGTAGATTTCAGTTAGAACTTAATGAAAATGAAAACTTTTTTTTCCATCCGAGTTCACAAACCGCCCTGAACTTTACAGGTCGAGACCCCGTTTTAAGGCTGTGCTTGTGGGGGGTCTGGACAGAGCTCCGTTCTGACCCGAGACGGCGTTTTCTCATGAGTGTCCCAGACTTGGGCACTTCTGAACTGTGGTGCATCGACACCCGGGTCTGAGCACGTGACCCTGTCCCCAGCAGCACTGAGTCCTGTGAGCGTCACCCGGGTCTGAGCACGTCACTCCGGCCCCCAGCTTGCCAGTTCCATAGCCCTCACCATGCTCCCAGCCAGGGCCTCACACCGCCCCCCGGCCACCTCCCCGGGGGCGGGCCGGCTCCTGCTCCAGCGCTGGCCACGGCGCACCTTCTGCTTGTACGGACGACCGCTGTTTGCTGAGGTGGGCTGAGGAGGCTGAGCTGGGCCTGCGGGTCGGAGCTCAGGGCTGGCTCTTGTTCCGGTGCTCAGGGTTGGCTCTCGTTCCGGCATGCCCGTCTGTGTCACATCCTACCACGGAGTGTCCCCACTGTGATCACCGATGGCTTCGCAGCCAAGCTCAGGTTTTCGTCTTATTGTCTCTCCCAAGCAGCCCGGGACAGTGCGGGGTGCAGGGCGGGTGTTTGTAAATACTGGCTCCTCGCCAGGCTGATCATTTGGGGTGAAGACTGTCAGCTTCTTGTGTGAATAAAGAATTCAGCCGTCGCAGTGTTTATTTTCCTGCTCTGCATTCAGCAGCGGCACAGGCCAGTGACTCTCTTGGGGCTGGTGAAGCCATCTCACTTTGTAGGGACATAGAGGCGGCAATTACAACACGATGACCAGGCGACAAGCTATCAAGGAGGACGACAGGCCCGCTCTTCAAGGCCAAAGTTGGCTTTTCTAGGCCATAACAATCTCTGAATCAGTTATCTTTGTATAAGTGACATGCCCAAGGGTGATGCTTGCTTGAATAACAAAATTAAGATGTGCTTTCCTGTAAGGCTCCACGCTGCATAAGTGGGGAAGATAAATTTGAGCTTCCACATTATCACACAGACAGTGAGCCTTTTCTGTGGCTCAGAGATCAGAGGCAGCACTTTCTCCTCGTCCCTTTGACAGGAGGACAAAGACTAGAACAGGCGGCAGCCGCTCCCGAGGCGGGACACCAGAAACCGAAGAATGGGCATTGGCTCCAAGCTGACCTATGTGCGTAGGTCGTCTTATTAACGGTCCATCTCAGTGTCCCAGAGTGGCCCCACCACCATGCTGCCCACCTGGATCACCACTGGCTGCTCAGTATCCTGGGGGCTTGCACATTTTTGGGGAGCCGTTCCCAAGGGCCTCACAGGCAAGCCGAGGCCGCCCCAGATGGCAGCCACCTTGGCCGGCTTGGAAGGTGTTATTTCTCCAAATACCATAAAGCCGTCTGCATCCTGGACTCTGCCGTGCTCAGATGGTGTCTGCACACAGGCTGCCAGGTACGGCCAAGGAGGGGCCCACCTGATTACGGTTGGCCTTGCTGGACTGTTGGGTCGAGACCCCACGAAGGGGGACATAATGGGAGGTTTAAGTGTGTACAGAAGCCTTTGCTGACACCTGAGTAAGCAGTTCTCATGAGGATAAGCCTCTCACGGTTGGGTCTGCGCAGCGGGCTGGCCGCACCAGCCTCACGTCCCCTCCTCTGCTGTGCCCACGTGTCCCTGGCAAGGACAGAAGTAGGAGAGGTCTGTGTCATAGACCCGCTTGGTCTCCCTTACCTGGAGATGGATCTCCTGGGAGCCGTGGTCAAGGCTGCAACAGGAAAATGGGTCAAGGTTACCGCCTTCCCCGCCCCATCCCCGACCGGACTTGGTGTCATGGGGCGCTGGCCGATTACTGCTCTTTCGCCCTAATGTTCGGGACCCCTTCCGTTCTCTGCCGTTTTTAGCTTTTAAACCTTCAAATATTCTTGGGTGAGCGAACCATACGGCCTGATTACTGCTGCGTCCTGGTGCGTTTACTGGCAGGCGTGGGCGTCACCTGGGGACAGGCGGTGCTGGCTCACGCGAAGGCCCCCAGGCCGTGGATAGCAGGACTCGAGAATCTCAGACGAGCCTCCAGCACACGTGCGTGGCTGAAATGACTCAAAATCTTAAACCGTTAGAGCTGAAGTGTCTCTAGTCCTTCCCTAGAATGAATCAACTTTTTACATTTGTTAACTCAGTTAATGAAATAATTCTTCCTTTCTCTCCCCCGTCCAGGTGAAGCAGAAATCGGTGAACGTAACCACACGGGTGCAGTTTTTAGAAAGTTTGTACAGACGGGAAGGTCTTCAGGTTTGTCTGTGAGAAGTTCCCAGATCAGCCGTGTGCTTGCGCCCGCTGGCCGGCTTGCGTGCTTGCTCGTCTGCAGAATCGAGGTGGACTGTTGCTGATTTCTTGGAAGATGAGGTTGCTAAATTTTATAAATTTAAATTTATAGTTTTATTACCAATATATGTGATTCCAGAAGACGATATAAGATCCCTCGTAAAGTGGGATTTCAGCATCAGCCACTGAACCCGCCAACGGCTCAAAGCAAGGAGTCGAAGATGTGTCACGTTTGAGAACAACGCACGAACTGACCCGAAATCCAGCAAACAGCTTCTGTTGAAGAAAAAAGATTAAATTAAACTTGGTAAAACAGGTTTCTCATTCGAGGCATCAGTAATTAAAAGCGTCATTTTAATGAAATGTGCTGGGTGTATTTTCTCAAACAAATGTTCGTAGTTTTTACAGTTTTCTCGGCCGCTGTCGAAACCCTTCTGCGTCTTGGTTTTAGCGTTGCTGGCAAATCACCCCCTGGCTGCTTCGAAGCTTCAGGTGAATAGTTCCACTCTTTATAAGCAGCTCATCATGTCCTAAAATCCGGGGCACGGCCAGAATGCAGCCCTGGTGGAGGGCCCCCCTCAGGGCCTGGGCGCCGAGGTGCCCAGCGATAGCATTAGGTCGAGGCATCTATCTGTTTTCCTCCCTTTACCCACTGAGAGCTTCGTCGTCACCGTTTGGTGCCCTATTAAAACATGTCTATATTCAGGTAGGATCCAGTTGTCACAGGAAAACCAAACACTTTCTTACAGCAGGTGCTGCAGATCGGATTCCTTTGTATAACCGAATGTGACTGCGTCCCTGGTGTGGTATGTTTGGCCACCAGAGGGCACTGTGGACCACTTTTCTGTGTGGCTGCCTCTCCCTGGCACAGCAGGGCTGATCAAGGCCCTAACAGTGACACCGTGAGTGTGGGCGGGATTGGGGCAGATGGCCTTGATGACACAGGTAAGGCAGCTCCGCCTGGGGCAAGGGGAGAAGCGGAGGCCTGGTCTCGTGCTCACTCCCTCCATGTCAGGTGCTTTGGGTCCCCGTGTGCCCCACCACCGGCAGGAAAGGGACAGAGCCCTGGCCTTTACCAGAGGACCTGAGTGTCTTGGACGGGACTGATCTTGGCCCAGAGGGCAAGGCAGGTTCTAATTAAGAAAAGAGAAAATGAAAAGGAAGAGAAGTGACCGAGGAGCCTGAAGCCGCCGAGCCCGGATGGCTGCGCTGGGCAGGTGCAGTCTGGGCCTCGGGTCTGTGCTGGCGGGTCGAGGTGTGACCTTCGCCAGGCCACGGCCCAAAGTCAGGCGTGTTCTGTCTTCCGGGCCAGGCTCAGATTCCTTGCAGGTGCGCAGTGGGGTGGAGAAAATCCCTTGCGAAACAGAGAAATGGATGCGTGAGTATCCTGACTCTCTGTCTTGTTAATATGTTTCCTTTCTTAGTAATATTCAGACTGCAGATCACCGAGGGGTGGGACGGGAGGCTACTTTCCTATCGCAGGTTCTGTTTTCAGTTTTACTACTGGAAAAAAGGCAACGTTCTGCTTCGTGTAAAGCTGGCAGGTCAATATCTTTTTAGGGGAATTCCAAGCTGTCACTTCAGAACCCCGTGCTCTTTACATTTTTTTACCTATTTAAGTTATGACAAGTCCTTTTTGGAATTAAGGGCGGTATCCATCAACCAGTAAAACTTCATCTTTTTCTTAGTTTTCTTTTCTTAGTATTTATTTTAATATATAGTTCTTTGTGTGGAAAATAAAAAATGTTTAGAGATCGATCATCTCACCAGCCAGCACGGCTGCTAATATCTTGACGTGTTTCCTTCCAGCCTTCGCGTGGAATGTCAATAACACTGAATGACAAGATCACGCCGTGTGCTGACTGCGCATCATGCTTCTCTCACTTAGTCATAAGCTCGTCATTTACTAGAAACCATAGGAATGGCTTAGGGCGGCTGCAGAGTATTTCAGATCTACACTGACTTCCAGGTGACGGCCTGCCTCAGCATTCTGCTGCTAGTGGCAGAGGAATTCGATGACCTTAAAACGTTCCTTCAAACCCCGTCTTCGTCCCCTGCTCCCCTTTCTGCCATGTTGGTTTTAATTGCAGCCAATGATCTCAGATGAAGCGGGGCGGCCTTCCCAGCCAGGAGAGCTCCCCTGCATGATCACCCTGCCCCAGCCTGGGCCCTGGGTCCTGCCCCGAGTTGGGGATTCAGCTCAGCACCCGGTGGCCGGGAGAATTTTGGAGCAGGGCTTGTGAAAGGAAAGGGGGAGCTACGCGAACCGAGAGGACACTGGACAGGCAGAGGCTGTGCGCCGCCCCCGCCTTCCCCAGGGTCTGAGCGTCCAGGTTACTTCCCGCTGTTCCCTGTCGTAAGAGACGGACCTTTACGCATCGAGTATTTTCTGCATCTCCGTTCGTTTTCTCGGGCAGATTCCCACCAGGAGAAAGAAGCTGCTGGTACACGTCACGAACTGCTCTGAAGAATTTCTCTCGATTAGCGGTCCTGCCCGCGGAGTCTGAACTCTCTCCACAGCCCTGACTGGGGTGGGCGGGAAGAGGGTCGCGTTCGTTTTAGTGGCAACTTTAGGTTGTTGGGGACTTTGGACATTTAAAAACTCAGCAGCTACTAGCTGCTTTCCTTGGCTTCCAGTATCATTCGGTAACCTATAGGTTGAGTTTTCTCAAAAATAGAAGTCATCGTCGTTGCAGGACTTAATTTCGTAAAATATGTTTGCACACCGCATTGTGTCTAATCCTTGCCAGAAAGGCGAGGAGCAGCTGGGCGCACGCTGTTCTCTTTCGTCCAGGGAGGATGTCGGTGTCCCAGCGGGGTAGCTCGGGGGACTCCACACATCGCATGCCAGCCCGGCCCCTACACCCAGCTCTGTCTCCAGGAATCCGATGGCCAGCCGAGGGCTGCGGGCGACACACAGGGCCTTTGAAGAAATCTCCAGCAGTCGTACGTGAGGTGCGCAGTGTCGACGGCAAAAAGGAAGTTTACCAGCACGGTGTCCGTGGAGCCACAGCACGCGATCGGCTGGCCCCCGGGACTGACCCAAGCAGAGGACCAGTCCAAACAGGGCTGTTCCCAGGTCTGGGGTCGCTCCTCTGAGATTTAAGGTCCAGGGAGAGAGCCGTGGGCTGGCTTTCCCCGCCAGCCTCATCAAGGCCGAAGAACTGACACAAAATCGATGGAGAGAGGTCAGCAACACGCTGAATAAGAAAGACAACCGTGCTCACGACCCTCAAATGGACAACCTGGCATCCAGCCAGGGTCAAAGCGCCTTCATGGGCGCTGCGGGGCCCAGCACCACATGCCGAGGGGCCCAGGAGGGGTCCTGCCCACCGGCACATGGGGCGGTGGGCACGCAGACTCCCGCCCTAGCTGGGGACCCTGCCGTGGCCCGTGAACCGGCTCCCGCCCCTCTCAGCCCTGGTCTGGGAGCCCCTGGAATACAGTGTCCCAGACCAGCATCCACAGAGGACACAGCCGTCTGAGCGTCCAGGTCCCAGAGGGGAAGTCCAGCATTCTGAGCTCGGACGTGCTGGAGTGGCCAAGAGGGACACCTTGTGTCTGCTCGCAGGCCCCTCCCGCAAGTGGCACAGCTCGGGCTGAGAGCCCTCTGGCCCGTGAGGTCTGCTGCGGGCGGGCGGGCGGGGACACACGCGTGAGCCAGGGCTCCCCAGCGGGCGGGACGCTGCTCTCCCACTCTCTGTCCCGGGGTTCTGAGCTGCGGGCGCCAGGACCGAGCAGGAGGGGGCTGGGAGTGGCAGCTGGGACTCTGAGGGCGCCAGAGGGTGCGTGTCCTGCTAACTGCACTGTGGACGCCATCGGAAGCAGGCATGAGCCTTGGGTGGGGGGCTTGCCTGAAGAACCCCAACTGGCCCACAGGGGCCCCAGCTCTCCGAGCGCCTCCCCCACACCTGGCTCCCTGTGTGCGCTCCTGGCTCCTGACTCCTGACTCCTGGCTCCTGGCGGTGGCGGCGGCGGTGACAAGCTTTGGCAGACGGCTCCTGAGCCCGCCCACGACACCCGCCTGAGTCTGCCGCCGGGAGAGACTCGAACTCAGACAAGGCTGCAGTTTCCAGAGGGGGAAGGTCCAAACGAGGACTTCCCCAGACGCGCTCGTCTGAAGGGTTTCGGGGTTCATTCAGCAGCCGTTTCTTATCACAGTTCCCCTGTGTCCGCTTGGCCACCACCTGGCGCGCTCTGCAGCACTCTGCCGTCCATCAGGTCCGCCCTGGTCCTGAGCCCCAACGCTTTATGCCTTGTCTTCATGGCGTCCTGTGCCACCCGGTCCTCAGTCAGCCAGTGACAGGGACCCTTTTCTCTCAGGACGACTTTCTCAGCTGGAAGCTCCATTCACCCACCTACGCATCCACCCACCCACCCACTCAC